AGAACATGAAAGCCTTTCACTCGTTTCACCCCAAAATGACTTGAGACATTCAGTTCTGTTCAGTCTCTGAAAAAAAGCTATAATTAATGCACACACACACACAGTAACAATTATATTTAAAAAATTGTTTTCATAGCAATATCTGGCAACACTGGTCGCCGGCACTTAAACTGACAGTAATCGAAAAAGCACTAACCATTAAGAACACTAGCCATTAAGAAGTCTATGCTATTTCTTTCAGTATAGTAGTTACATTTTCACAAAGTCATGCTAAAAACATTCATACGAGCAAGTTATTATCTATATAGCAATGGTTATTAATGAAAACTATAACTAATATGTATTGTTGCATGAATAATAAACAACTAATAAAATTATCCACCTCTAAGCTATAGTAAAGTATAAACAAATTTTGATGCAATAAACATGGTATAATTGTGGTACAATGTTCAACCCTCCAAAACAGATAAAACATCTTTCACAAACATCTACATGTCTGTCTCTAAAGTGTTTAGTGTACATAATGAGCAAGTAACCAGTAAAGTAACGCTTTACTTTTTAATTTACAAGAGAATATCTTATGATCTTATAATAATGAGTTACTTTTCAAATAAGTAATGCAAGTTACTTTTTTTTTCCAATGTATTGATTGACAGCTCTGGTGTCGCCATGCTGAGAGAAATCAGAAGATGTTACTGTAGTTCTGAAATAAATATGAATATGCATTAATTCATCTCACTCACAAAAAAAACCCGCACAGATTCAGTATTCCTATATGTATATGCAACTCAGAATAGGATGCAAACCTGCAATAATTAAATCTTAAACAACACAAATATGCTTTATGTATTTAATCCCATTCTATTTGCTTCTGTCCTTCGATGATGCAGTTCAAGCGTACTAATAAGCACTAATTCCTCTAGATGAACATCTGTGTGTCTTTGTTTATTGCTGAAGTGTGTTGAAATGTCTTCTTCTGTATTCTACTGTACTTTCCCTTCAGCCTGAGGCGCATTCATTTCACTTCTGGTGTGAAAAGGCTTTTATATTTGCCAAAAATATAACTTTTTTATTTTAAAAACAAACAAGCAAGCCCTGTCCAGATTTAAAAAGTAACGCAAAAGTAACGTACCGCATTACTTTCCATAAAAAGTGACTAAGTAACGTAATTAGTTACTTTTTTATGGAGTAACGCAACATTGTAATGCATTACTTTTAAAAGTAACTTTCCTCAACACTGATAAGGAGTTGTATTTGTAGGGGTTATTACAGCACAATTCTTAACCCCACCCCAGACCTCACTAATTTTCAAACCCTGGCTACAGCCATGAAACTAACATTAACAAAGGTTGATAGATGCTGTAAAAAAACACATTGCTCATAGTTAATGTTAACTAATGTTTGGTCCTTTTTTGTTCATTTTTTCAAGCCATTTTGCTTCTCAAGTAAATGTTTCTCGATTTAAGGATGTTAAGATGTTTGTACTGGAAAACAAGACAAAGATAGTGAGGAAGAACATTGTTGCAGTCGCGCTGTTTGACTGTCTCTCTTGCTCTAAGCGCAGTGTTTTCTGGTTCTCTGTCTCTGCAGGAGTTTTCCTCTCTCAGCTGAACGGGGTTCCTGTGACGAGGATCTTTCTGATTTGGCCTAAATGTGCAACATTCAGACTAGTGTGCCAAAAGCGGATGGGTGCTCTGGCGCTACGAGAGATATCAGATCAAATGAAGCTGGAGCGGGGGGTGAGGGTGGCACTTGGGAACCAACAACTGAGTCAATTCTGCTAATTAACTGCCAATTAGCGGTCCCTAAATGCAAGCGATGCTGACGATGTTCTCTGCCAGCAGCTCGCGCCGCCACTCATCTCCACTCGTCCTCTTGAGCGGTATATTTAGAAAGAGCGGCCGCGAGACTCCAGAAAAAGACTGGACGCTCTCATCTAGGTCAAAGTTAAATGGATAACCAGTATTTTCAGTCGTGTGTAACACACAGACAGACAGACGGTGTGTGTGCGAGGGCAGATCTGTGTGTTTAAACTCAACGCTCCAAACTTTCCCATGCTCTGAGGAGGAAAATCAAACATCTTCACAGGCCAGCTTATACTTTTTACATCACATTTGGAAAATATTAAGCCATTATTCTGAATTTCATAACAGCCAGTCGTGCCAAGTGAAAGGGTCATAAAAAACATAAAGCTGATCTGCTTGTTTGTGCCTCATTTGAGTTCAGGGAGAGAGAGAGAGAGTTTTGAAACCCTTTCTCCAGTCGTCTCAGTATAAGCAGACTAGGATGAATCCTTCATGATTCATATAAAGACTAATACAGAGCCAAAGACTGGACACCAGCAGAGATGGTTCAGTCTGAGACGCCTCAGCTTTAGATGCTGAGGCACAACTGGTGAAGCAACAACAGATGACCAATAATGACACAAATACAGAGAGAGAGAGAATGTGTGTGTGTGTGTGTGTGTGTGTGTGTATGTGTGTGTGTGTGTGTGTGTGTGTGTGTATGTGTGTGTGTGTGTGTGTGTGTGTGTGT